TTCTCTAGATGAGAATTAGGATCCTCTGCAACTGCACCTCCAAATTGATTCTGTTGGATGACTTGTAGCAATGCAGGCTTGATTTCAAAATTGTTGACTTGAATAGGAGGTCTCACAATACTCCCTTGGTAATTATTCACGTCTGGCATAGAATAATCAAGAAGAGTTTTCCTCTCTGGTTGTTCCTCTGCCATTGTTGATACGTGCTCCTCCTTTTTACTTGATGTCTCTGCTTTTCCTTTTTGCTTCTTCTTTCTTGTCTCACTTCTATTATGTCTAGCAGAACGTTCAATTTCTGGGTCAAAAAGCAAAATTTTTTCTGCCACTGTACCTCGCATAAACAACTTAAAAAGAATACAATATTCTAACAACAAAATTAACGTGACAACAGAAAAACAAACAAGATAATGAAAATAGAAAAACAAAATAACTAAAATAAAAACAGTTTTGACTACCTAAAAACTAACACTCAAATCTTAAGCGAATTAGATCACTAATATCAACAGAAAAATCAATCCCCGGCAACGGCGCCAAAAACTTGATGAACGTTTGGCAAGTGCACCAATCGTTAACGTAGTAATAAAATATCGTCCTCTGGGATTGAATTTGTTGAATACTAGATTCCTAATGTACGTAAGTTTGAGCAATTGAAAATTTGGATAAAATAGCAAACATAGAATTATAATAAGAACTTTAGTCAAAATAAGATCTGTTAGAGAATTGATTTCATACTATTTCCTATATAATTCTAGTCCTTTCAATTGATGCAAAGAAATGTAAATATCCACTTGAGTTTACCCAGAGTTGTTTTACCCCTAATCCCTTAGTAGGCAAAACTATTCATTAAATCCGAACCCCCAATCCCTTAGGTCAGTTACGCCATTCAATAGAATCATGAAAAAACAATAATCTTCTCTATTGCAAACTAATTAGATATATGCCCAATTTCCCAATTGTGACAAACCCTAACCTGTTATATTTAGGATCGCGAACAACCTCCAATCTCCCAATTGTGACACTGCTCGTGGAATGAACTTGAAAATTATAAATAGAACACTGAGATAAAGAACATTAACTAAACATCAATTGTCAAGAACAAGAAAATATAATTCAGAGTACTACATCAATCCTCCAACAACAGGAAAATCAGTTCTGCATAATGTAAAAATTGCTAAAAGATAATAACTAGAACGTAAAAAATTCCAGAATGGTTCTCCCCCCCTTTTCAGTTTCGTTCCACCTTCTTTATAGGGTGTCCCACATTTTTTCTCCACTTGTTGAGGTAGTTACCACTTCTCATAACTGTCTTGAATTTTCACATGTTGTGGAAAAATCCACAACCCACCTGTGGAACTCTCTGACTTCAACTGTGCATTCTGAACCACAAATCCACAGGTTGTGGAACATTTCACAACTCACCTGTGGAGCTCTCTGATCTTGATCTTTGCATTCTGGTACCAAATCCACAGGTGTTGGAACATTTCACAAGGTACCTGTGGAACTTACTGATATGAAATATTTCTATCTTGACACCAACACCCTCCAAACTATGAATTTAAACCTCCAAACACCTATTTACAAGAACAATGCACAAACCACATGTATGATCCAAAACAACGATAATGCATGATGAAATCGTTCCCATAATGCAACAACATATGAAATTAACCTAAATTAATGCATGAATGTAATGATATTTTATCCACTCATCAGTAGAAGAGGTGAATGAATTTATTATATTTTTAATACTTGGTGAAGAAAAGAGTTACTTAAGTTTAGACACACCTTGCCAATCAGATGAAGCCAATAAGTTCAATGTGAATGGTTTACATCAGAGTTTCTAAATGACTTTAAATGTTCAGGATTTCCAAATCGTTGTCTTAGGTTAAAAGTTGGTGTCCCTATTATGCTTTTAAGAAACATTGATCAAGCTAAATGGACTTTGTAACGAAACAAGATTGCAAGTCAATGATCTAGGAAAAAAAATTGTTATTTCAACTATTGTAATTACTAGCAAAAAAAATATTAGTGAGAAAGTATTTATACCAGAATGGATTTAATTCCTTCGGATCTAGGATATCCCTTCAAGTTTTTGAGAAGACAATTTTCTTTGTTATTATGTTTTGCAATGACAGTAAACAAAATTCAAGGACAATCATTGAAGAAAGTAAGACTTTATCTCTCACATCCTATATTTACACATGGTCAATTATATGTGGCTGTCCATAATAATAATAAAAAATTGATTAAAAATTCTAATTATGAATGAAAAGAAAAATGTTTGTACATAGTCGAATAATGTAGTATACAAGTATTTTTATTTTAATCTTTAAAAAAGTTCTTATAACATGTTAAATTATTCAGGTAGAAATATTAATATATTATTTCTTATATTTTTTTATACTAAATTTAGTTACTAATTTTTATTTTAACAAAACCTAAAGATGTATAAATTACCTTACATTAAATGTAATTTAGGTAATATTTCAATGCATTATTTTTCCATTTATCATAATTTATATCTTTATTATTTTTTTAAGTTATTATATTAATTTATTAAATATATAATATAATCTGGTGTGTTGTACAGGTAATAACGCTAGTTATATATAGAGAGATGGATTTACGAACTACCACCCTTAAAGAACAAACCATATATATATATATATATATATATATATATATATATATATATATATATATATATATATATATATATATATATATATATATATATATATATATATATATAATATATAATATAATATAAATAATTTGTTTTATTTTTTATTCTTAATTTTTTATTTATAATAAATATTATATTTATTGTTTTATACATATTTTATTTATATTTTTTTTCTTTCTTCTTTCTATTTTTAGATTTTTATCTTTCTTTTTTTACCTTTTTATTTTTCTAATGTAATTTTTTTTATTAGATACTCATTTTCTGTTTTCATATTTTTATCTTTTATTTTTATCATTTATTAATTCTCATATTTTTTTTATCTTTTATTGATAAAATTTTCTCTTTATTTTTCACATTTATCTTTATATATATATATATATATATATATATATATATATATATATATAATTTCATCTATAACATAAAAATTATATTTTTTTTATTAATTAGATTTTTAGTTGTTTTATCACATTAGATTTTTACATTAGATTTTCACATTATATTTTCACATTAGATTTTTACATTACATTAGATTTTCACATTATCTTTATTATATTTTCACATTAGATTTTTAGTTGTTCAAAAAACCTTTTTTTTATAATTTCATCTCTGTAACATAAAAGTTATATTTTTTTATTCTTTAATTTTTTTAATTAATTTTTTTGTCTTCTGTTCAAGAAGACATAAGTCAAAATGTCTATTATAATAATTTTTTAAAGTAAATAAATAAATTTATTTTTTATTGTTTTTATTTAATTATTATAACAATTAACATGTATAATGTGTAATATAAAAATATGAAATATTAATATAAATTTTTTTATTGATTATAAATTAATTAATTATTTAAATATTTTATGATAGTCTATTTTAATGTTAAAATAATTAAAAAAATCAATTTAAATTTTAAAAATATCTAAAAGTAAAATTATATATTCTAGAAAAAAACGAAATAAACTTTATTTTCTAAAATTTAAATTTAAATAATAATATTAAATATATAACATATTTATTTTTATATATCTTCTTTAAAATTTGCGATTCCGCCGATATATATATATATATATATATATATATATATATATATATATATATATATATTAAATTCACATTTGCTTTGTATTTTCATCTCCTCAAATACTGATTGTATCTTTTATTCTCTTACGACTTCCTTGCCTTCTTCTTTTGACTTTCTTTCTAATAGAATATTATTTTATTTTAGTTTATCAAAAGTAAAAGAATAATAATGTTCTTATTGATGATGGGAGAAGCATATCTTCGCAAATGACTTTTTGAGGGGAGATAACATTTGAAAAATTAACTATAATATTCTTTTTCATAGTTGTTGATCTGTGATATCTTTATGTTGATAAAGTGGTTGCATTGTGTTGAAAAGTGAAGAATTTCATCGTAGTAGCAAACCCACCCATGAGCCAAGCAAAAGAACGAAAACAGGATATGGAGAAAGAAAGTCAAGATGATGAGATAACTAAATCCAGTTTTGGCAAACTATGCTGCTCTCTTCTTCCTAGATTTGAAGAGAGATGAAGAAGACAAGGCAAGGCAAGTCATATTGGCACATGGAAGGTGATGCCCTATGTTCCGGGTTCAATTCAGCTAGTTATGTTACAATGCATAGTTCCCACTCAATCTCAAAAAAGTGTGCACATTTTTTTCCCTTTTTTTATACACCATAAATCTGTGCTGATTGGTATGTTATCATGTACGGTGATAATTTATGCTGTGTTTCTTCCCACAGATTCTATGTAATCTTGAATATTTGGCTAAAACCGCTGTAAATTCTAAATTACCAGAAGATGAGTTCGTGACTGAATATTGTTTATATAGTATTTCATATGCTTGCAAAAAGCTTTCAGCTACATGATGGCCTTTTTTTCTCCAACCATCCTCGCATGAGTCAATTATATAGTGGAAATGACTCCTTATGACTAGTTACTTTTCCATCGAAGAATGATACAACATTAGTTAACATAAGAATGGAGATATACTTTCTAGGTTCCTGGCTACAAAATCCTGTTTTAAGATAATCCTCATAATGATTAATTTTCTAATATAGCCTCTTATCGTCATCATCAGCAATTCATGACTAATATCATCAACACAAATGCACAAGCAACAAATATAATAATCTTACCATGTGGTATGGTATGCTGAGTAAACGAATTTACCTACAATGTGAATGTTCACAACTCTGCAAGTACCTGTGCCTGGGGCTAAGCTGAAGTCTTGATACTTCAAAATGGCCTTTTTGTTGTCTGGAAACATATTGTGATTGTACCCGTAAATATAGACTCTAATCCAGATCTAGATTCTTCTTCATACTTTCATAGACCACGTAAGTAATGCTTGCAGCCGGCACAACTTTGAGGAGATTCGGAAAGAGACCCTTATAGAAACCTACAAAGCCTTCAAGCTGGAAAGTTCTCCGAAAGGCATCAAACATCCCCTTGTAAGCATCGGAAGTGTTGGAAGGTTGTGCCTGCAGTCTGAGAAAGATGGTAATGTAAAATTGTCAGTAAAGAACAACCATAGCATAACTAGAAAACAGCTTTAAAGAACGCCTCATCATTTCTTTTGGGGAAGGAGAGCAAAGAAACAACAGTAATACTGACAAGTGACAAAAATACCTTGTTCGAATAACCTGCAGTGGATAGACACAAGTAGCTCCAACAGCTCCAGAAATTGTCCCACATCCTAATTGTACTAGAGAACCAGGTTCTGCGAAGGAGAAAAAAGAGTAAAAGGTCTCACTCCAAGGAGAGAAACTAAGAGTCAATCTATCGTAAAAGAAAATTGAAGCTGTATATAAATCAGCCAGTTCAGGAGATTATGTGGGTGCAGTAATAACATACCCCTATCCTGAAGAATATATTTCTTGGACATATCTTTCAAGGTATCATAAGCAGTGAGATCAATGGCTGCATAGGGAATCATGCCAAGCAGAGATGGAACAAGCCCTCTATAGAAAGCTCGAGGTCCCTCTTGAACCCATATATTCATTGTAAGTGTTCCCAGCTTAGGAACCTTTCCACCTTCAGAGGGACAAGTCTGCAACCTTGTTTTAATGAGGTCCATTGGATAGATAGCAGCCTGTGCAACTGCACCAGCCATACCACCAGCAAAAAGCCTCCCAGCAGTACCAACATCTGACTTGCTGCTGCCTTGCGCCTCTCCAATTACATTTTTCAGCATTTCAAAAGCATAAAATTTGATGGCACTTTCTGGTGCTACCTTCACAACATTCAATCCATTACCTCGGAAAAATCCTAGCAGACCATCTTGCTTCAGTATCTTCGTTACTGCTGGCATGATAGAAGCACTTGCAGTTTGAACTTGTAAAACCACCTTCAGACGATCAAGAGGAGCAGTTGCTGTACGAGAAATACCTCCTGCTACTCCACCAGCAAGAAAGTATTTGCTCCGGTTCGTGTGCTTGCTGATGCCTTCAGGAATGACAGCATGCTCTCCAATGTCAACAAGGCACACCCTCTCCCAATGATGGTATATATTTTCAATAGTTGCTTCATGAGGGTAAAGTAGAAGAAAATCCCTCCATTCTTCAAAAGTGATAATTCCATTGTTATCCTTATCAACATGCTCCACAAAGCGAGCCAGCTCCTCGTCATCCATTTCAATCCCTGCAGCATTGAAGCTGCACAAGCTTATTACAAATGCTATTAGGGAGAAACAGAAAACATTGAAAAAGCTTCCGGAAAAGGCATATAGTATACTAGAAAACCGTTTTCAAAATCTACTAATAGGGCACAGACAGGAGCAGATTATGGCACACCAAAAACTATGCAAGCAAAGAAGTAAAAAACACATTACAGAATCCATCATGAAAAACTGAACCAGCCTTCCCATATCTCAAGCAGCATGCAGATCCAAAGAATGAACCCAGACAAGACACATGATATCTAGGAGATATAAAACATCTCAAGTCTCTAACATTCTTCTAGCATTATCGTTCTGATTGGCAACAAATGTCCGTCAAAAAAGAAAGCAAACCTCTTTCCAATTACATAATCCACAATCTGATTCCTACTAAAAACAACCTTACCTTACACTCACAGAAACATTGTTATCAGCCAGTTTAAACATCAAATGCCAATGTCTTACCACATAACTCTGTTTCGCTGTGTTCCCAAACTTGATTTCAAATGACCTTAATTTTGTAAAATAAGTCATAGTTAAATTAAATTTGAATACTAAAATTTAGTACAAAAATTCTCAACTTAATACTAAAAACTACATTTTCTCTATTTTTACTCATGCTTGCTTTTAAGAACATGCTTGATTGATTCTAACAAACATAAACTAAACATGTCTATTTTTTGCAAAATTCTTATTGGACACCACTAAGTAACTGTTTGGGGTAAGAGTCTCTGTAAACATTTAAATGAAAAAAAAATTGTTAAATTAAATCAACAACCACTACGCATTTCAACTTTTAATAAATTAAAATATTATAAAATTTATACACATAAATTAAATTCACTTTACTTTTTCTTTTTAATCCTACACTTATGAACAAGTTTATTCAATATTAATGTAAAAGCAAGTTTGATTCCAGGAGCATGAATGCCTCCTGAAACCCGAACCGGGGAATAAATAGCACTACCAGCTTTGAGGAGGGCTTCATAGAGTTCTTCCGGGAGAATGTTGCCGTCGTGTTCAACATCAATGGCTTGGAAGATGCGGTAAAGTTCCAACTCCTTGTCGTCCATGTAGCGGCGGAACTCGTGGTACTCTACTCTGCCATCGCTGTTGGCGTCGCAAACCTCGCAGAGTTCCCTGGCGTACTTGTACTCCGGCGGAATCTGTAGCGCCGACAACCCGGCCTCTATCTGAGCGACGTCCAAGTAACCGTTGCTTGCGGCGTCGAAGAAATTGAACAGGCTCCGAATACGAACCTCCCTCTCCTCCTTCGTCTCCCCCAACGCCTCGAGGAGGTGATCCATCGAAACGACACCGTCCCCGCTCATACGACCATTCCAATTCCAGATCCCAGCCTCCGCTGTGGTTATCAGAAGTTAGTTGGAGTGGAACACCGGAGATCGAGAAATTTTGTTCAACTTTTTGGTTCAGATTTTTTATTATTTTACCACGTAATAATATAAGCTTTGTTTTTTCGTTGGTGTTTAGCACGAGGATCTAAAAGGAAAGGAAAAAACGGGTAAGGTAACTAGATATTCTCTCCAACATTCTGGCGTGCCAAGCTTTTGCTTTGCTTTTTTTACCATAATCATTCCTCTGCTTCACTCAAGGTATTTTCTCCTTAACTAAGTAATCACCAATTACAGCTTCTTCTCGTTACTTCAATAATTTTTGAATCGTCAATCAATTTTATCTTCATAATTTATATTATCCACCTCAATTTAAGATGATTCAGAAAGAAATCAAGTATGAGTGAGTGAATTAAAAAGAAAATGGTGAAATTTAATTGCTTGGTTGGTGACGAAATAGAAAGGAATGTGAGAATACTTGTGTGAGATCCATTCAAATTCATTTGTAATGATAAAGAGGAAGTTCATATAGTCTATATTTGATTTCGTGTATGGTCTGTTAGCCTCTTTTTTTTTTTTTCCTTAATATTAAATAAATTATAAAGATAGTCCATATCTATACAAATTTATTAAGATGGGGTCTCTACCCGAAAAGGAACTAAAGTCTAGCTATTTTTTAGAGGGAGTAAGGTATTAAGAATTATATATGAAAGACGAATAAGAAAATTTGTTAGAAATGAATAACCAAACACTAATAGAATCTGATCCCTTTTTATTAAATTTTACTCTTTCTCTTCCAAAATAATTCTAAAACCCTTTCATCAAAAAGACAAAATTTTATCAAATATTCTTATGTTCCTGAAGATGCTCAAATTTCTGAAATATATAGTCCGTTATTAAGTCTTTATAATATCTTCAAAAGACAAAATTTTATCAAATATTCCTATGTCTCTGAAGATGCTTAAATATCTGAAACATATAGTCTGCTCTTAAGTCCTTATAATATCTTCAAAAGACAAAGATCTAAACTCATCTTCACCAGAAGACCTTAGGTCAAAGAATACGTCCAATCCTCTAGGATGCATCAGTGTGTCTTAGCTTCCATCATAGAAGAATAATACGTCAATATTGAGATTATCAAAAATCTTATTAGGTATTGGCAGAATGAAGGATATACTTGTTAGAAAAGGAGGCTGAGATCAAGAGGGAGGGGGTGAATTGATCTTTGAAAGATTTTCACAATTTACAGATTATCTATTTCAAATATTAAGAGTTCTGACTAATTCTTGAATCAAGCAAAACAAACAATCAAAATAAAGTCAGCAACAAAATTAAAGAGAGTAAGGTTTAGAGAAATACAACCAAGATTTATACTGATTCACCCAATCCCAGGGCTACGTCAAGTTCTCAGCCAAATTCCAGCTGAGTTCCACTAAATTGAATGTTTTACAGATTACAGATTCTAATCACACACCCAATCTACCACAAGAACCAAAATTCCAGTTCTTACACCTAAACTTTCACCAAGAACCAACTTCCAGTTCTTGAACTACCCTGCAGTCAAATTCCAGCCACAGAAACTAGTGTCCACACTTCTAGACACCCACAATACAGTAATGAAATGTAAAGAAACAAAGAGAATAAACTAGAACACTCAAACCCGGATTATGCAGATTTGCAGAATGAGTTTCTTCACAAAAGAAATATAGAAATTGCCTTAAGAAAGAACTTTGAAAAACTTTACAAAAACTTGCGTGATTCTTTCTTGAAAATAGCTCTTATGATTGCTTGATTGATTGCTCAAAGGTATTTATTAAAAGACTCAAGCAATCTTGTTTATATAGAGAATTGTTCTAATTGCTGGTTTAATTAATATGTTAAAACAATCTTTTAATATGTTAAAAGTCTTGAATTAATCTGTTAAAACTTCTTTTAATCTGTTAAAATGTTCTTGATCATTTTCCAGATTTGTTTTAACTAATGCGACATCGTTTCAATCGATTAAAACACTTTGTAAAAAATCTCTTAAGTTGTTTTAATTGTTAATTTGCCTTTTAATTGATTAAAATTCTGCCAAATATTTTCATAAAACTTTTTAAGCGATTTTAACTGATAATAGTCTGTTTTAATCGATTAAGACACTTTGTGAAAAATCTCTTAGTTGTTTTAATCGATTAATTCGCATTTTAATCGATTAAAATCCTGTCAAATATTTTTATAAAACTATCTAAGTGATTTTAACTGATAGCACATCAATTAAAATTATGACAGAACTTCTTTCAAAACCTTTCAAGTGGTTTTAATCGATTAATTTGCATTTACATCGATTAAAATACTGACATAACATCTTTCAAAACACTTCAAGTTATTTTAATCGATTATTTTGAGTTTGTATAAATTAAAATACTGCCAATATACTTTCCAAAACATTTTAAGTCATTTTAATCGATTATTTCGAATCTATATCAGTTAAAATACTGGCAGAAAAGTTCCTTTAATGAAAACAATCGATTAATTCGAAGATATATCGATTAAAACAGTTTCAGTGAATGTTTTAAAAGGTTTTAATCGATTATTTCGAAAACTTATCAGTTAAAAATCTGTTATGTAAGTGTTAAGAACATTTTAACTTATAAAACTCATATAATATCAGTTATAACAATTACTTAAAAACCATTTAACTGATTACTTTGGTTTTTAACAGATTAAACACATTTAGAGACATTTTCAAAATCTTTTAAATGATGAAACCACATGCAACAGAGAGATATGAATGATTATATCTATGTATAGATGCAGACTCACTAATCACTCTACCCTTTTAACAAAGTAACATTTGACTTCAACATAATAGTCTTTGACTTCATTTGACTTCATCAAATCAACAAGATCTTTGTTTTATCAAATGATTCAATAAGATCTTTGTTTTATCAAATGATTCAATAAGATCTTCATCACTTTCAATACTCATCTCCACTACGGACTATAAGATTACTCCTCTCTCCATGGAAGACGTGAATTATCTGTCTTAGTCAAAGTCTCTCTTCTAGACTTTAGCTATTTGCATTATAAACATATTGTAATTGATACTGTATTAACTACTCTCCATACCGGAAGTGTAGTCCTAACCATATTTCTTAACTTTAATATTAGTTTGAAAGATCTCACTATCTCTCAACGATTGAAGGTTCAAATTCAGGTCACAGGAGCTGAACAAGTCGTTGATGCTCTGTCAGCCACCCTTCATCACTAGATAATCTACAGACTGCAAGATCATGCCATAAATCTTGCATTACCCTCATGCAAAGATGAAGCACTCTTTGTCTTGGCCAATAACCAAGATGAAACACCTTTCATAGTTCAAATCCCTGGAAATATTTCACAACAAGAACTGCAAAAGCTTATCTATATACAATGGGTCACCAACTATGAGAAGATTCATACCAATCAGAAACAAATCTAGTTTACTGAAGCAACTTTCAGAAGATCTATAGATGATACTATCAAAACCATCTTCAAGAGCCCTGAACATGTTTCCAATTCAAGTATCTCCATATTCCAATACATTATGATAACACTTGTCACTAAAGAGGGCAACATCACTATTGCTAGCGTGTATTCTGACGAAAAGCCTATCTTTAGAGATAAGATAGGGGGACACTTCATATGGGATACAAACCCGGATATGTGTGATTTCGACTGTAACTGTTGTGATCACACTGGAGATACCAGTGATGAAGACGATGATGACTCAGGCGAGAATGATGACTTTGAAAGAGGATCTTGCAAACCTCCTTTCTCTCCCAACAGAAGGTTTGAACCTAGAAGAGGTCCTTGGATTGGACTTCACCGACAAGAAAAACCAGACTCTCTATGAAAAAACAAAAGATATGTTGAGATCCTTGAAGAAGAATGTCTCCTCTTTCAGAAACAAGAAAAGTGTAGAACCTTTGTCATGCCACCTCCTGTTACTTCTTCTATTCCATGCATGATGATCAACCTAACATCCTATAAGGAAGAATTTTTTCCTCTGGAGAGAAATATTGATCTTATGTCCAAGACAACAACCAAACCACATGTTGTGTGTTAAGAAGTTGGACCAGATGGAAAAACAAAACCACTAAGCCAAGATGAGGAAGTATTAAACTGGTAAACAAAAAATGTCAGAGCTCAAAACTCCATCTTGCAGAAAATTGATCAGAAGATGGATAAACTCTCACCACATCTTGAGGAAACTGATGAAAAGCTCCAGCATCTCAACTCAATCTTGAGAAAGTATTATAAACAACTTTCCTCATAGCTTTCAAGGTTAGAAGAAGATTGGAAGAACACTATTTTTGGAGAACTATCTCATGCAAAAGAAAAGGAGATTAGACGGCTTAAGGCTCAAATCCAGGAAATGGACAATTATATTGACGACAAATTTAACCAACAAAGGACAGAGAAAGATCCTTATTCATCTCTGTTTACTTCAACTCCAAGTTACTCCTCTTTCTAGAATTTTTCTCCGTTCTTTCGACCATCAACACAGTATTCCTGGTCTTTACCTACAAGCTTATATACCATGGTCTAAACCCGGGGCATCAAAGCCAGACCAAGGCAAAGAAAAAAAAGTCAGTCCACCTTCTTAAAAATCTTCTCATGAAGTTTAATCCTCACCAGTGAAACAAACTTATCAAGACTCATTTGATCCTATTTATCAAGATTCTCTAAATCCATACTCTCATATGACCATAGAATCTTATCCTTATCCAAGTCCTAAGGATACTCATGCAACTGTCGAAGAGTATTCCTCTGAAGAGTCAAAAATAGAAGTTCCCAATTATGCAAATTTAACCCAAATTCTGATGACTCCAAATCAGAATTCAAACATGAACACATTTACGAATCTCCTAATGAAGAAGTTAACTTAGGTCTCACAAGGACAAATACCTCTTCAAACCCTAATGGAGGACCTTAGTTTACTATTAAATATATCCCTCCAAACTAGTGAAGAGATACGCTAACCTCTTCAAAGGCCTAATGGAGGACTTTGGTTTAATATTGATGATATCCCTCCAAACTAGTGGAGAGCTAGTCTAATTGAATTCGGAGCATGGTTAGACACCAAATTGGTCAAAGAATCTTATTCTTATAAAATCATTGAAGAATTTTGTTGCAGAATGACTGAAACTCTGAAAGAAGGTACCATAACCTGGG